AGACTTATCTTAGAACGTCTCCTTGAGGCTGTAGAAGTATCCACTGGTCCTGACTGTGAAGATCCACAGGGAGTTTGGAGGGTTCCTTCTTCAGTCACTGAGTCCTTGACATGGGCTGGTGTTTGGAAGAGCTCCTGAAAGCCAGCCAGGTCTTCTAGCAACTCAGCCTTTGCCTTAGGTGTTCTTGGCCATCTCTTGCTGCCAGATATATTTGTTGCTAGGTCCAGTGTCTGTTTTGCAGATTCGTTTAAAGCTTTGTTGCTTTTGTCTTCGCTTTCTGTTGCTTTTGGGGTATGCATTGCTTTCCCCTCTTTTATATCCACTTTCCTCCAGGGAGTGTTGGGCGATGTGTTTTTTCTTCTTGGAGTGTCCATTGCTTCTGTATGTGGAGAGCTGCAAAGGACTTTAGTTTTATACTCATTTATGGGCTCATCTAGGTGTTTTGGTGTTTGTAATAGTTCTTTGACACCATCTAGATCGTCCAGAGGTTGCGATTTTCTAGGAGTTCTTAGCAATCTCCTCATTCCTTTTGCAGATGTTGCTGAGTCTGATTTCTGCTTTGGAGTTTCCTTAACCACTTCCATAGTTCTATCATAATTGCTTAACTTATTTGTACTACATACTGTGGTTAGAGTCTCTGTTGCAGAAACTGGAGTTTTAATATCAAAATGAGTAATTTTATGCATGTTTCTAGGAGTTTTGACTATCTTTTCATCTTTTATACACTTTCTTCTTAACATAGGGCTTGGTAAACATTCATCAGATGGTCCTTTTGCTGCATTCTGAGCACTAGAGTACATATTTTCTCCTGTAAGGAATAAAAATTACATAAAGTAAACGTGTTACATCCACTGTGTTATAATCACACTTAATCCCAATGCTTTATCCTCATGAAATACAGCATAAGAAAAGGTACTTTGGGTTCATATGTACCTTACTAAGAACATGAGACTACTAATATGGCCATAAATCTGTGACCACAGCAATTCTCTGTATCATATTCTATCCAGGCTACGTGCCCTTAGGGGTAGCACTAACCCTTACGGTAGGCAGCACTCATACCCAGGGTCCTCCCATTATCCATTATCAGAACTATGCCAAACAAATCAGTGGACTCAAACAAATCAGTGGACTCAGCATCACACTTAATCCCAGTATTACACATTGTAGATCCAGCCAGCTCTGAAAAGCCCCACCTTTGACCATCTGAGGTTTTGAGGGAACATCTAAACACAAGCCATAACAGTAAAATCATCAGTAAGTGGTGGTTAGGATCTACAGTGATTACTTGAAGGAAAACAAATTCTTAAGAATGACCTTTGAAAGCTACCATACCATGTGCCCTCGCATTGAATACAGGCATTGTTCTCTTCAAATATAAGAAACAAAAGCCTTTCTACTCCTTAATGTATGGTCAGGCTCCATATTACTTAGGAAATACCTACCTTTTAATTACAGCAAGCAAGTACAACCAGGCAAGCTGTTCCTTCTATGACTGGAACACAGTGACCAATACCACACGAGACAGTAGGACAGACCCTTATCTCTCCTTTCACACTCACCTTGGAGCTTGCTCCCATTCCCAAGATTATAGACAATAAGGAGATAACACAAAAATCATTCTTTTTTATAATTTGCAATAACCAAATTTCAGTAATTTATAATGTATGAGATTGTACTTTTCTGCTATATCAACTTTACTTATACGAAGCTAAAAATATGGAAAAATCATTTAAACTCACTAACTGATTATGCATGTAAATGAATACAAAGCAGCTTAACCTTTGATGAAAATCTCTGCTTAAATAACAGAACAGAGAAGACAGAAAGAGCATTTATCAGCCATACCAGTTATAGAAAAATAATAACAGTATTGGTTGTGAAGTGGTAACGTGATCTTTAAGTTCCTATCTAAAAGCATAACACTGTCAGAAAATAAGGACACCAACCTAAATTCACTGAAGGGATGGGCAGAGATTCTTCCCCTGAGCTAATTACTTTCGATTTTTTCCCAAGCAAATTCTCTGAATTGGAGGGTGTGGCAGAACAGGTGCTCATCATCTGTGGCTTTTCCTTCACTGGAGTTTTAAACATTTCTGTTAGCCCTTAAAAAAAATGAAAGTATTTGAAAGATGTTACTTATATACACAGCTACCCCAGACCTCACATATAACAAACCAAATGACAGAAAATAAAGCCAGACAAATCCCTAGTATTTCTAGTATGTAACATTTCAGAAAAAGTGATTTTATTAATAATATATTTTGTTTTAAAAGAAAGCAAAAAGAAGTGTACATGGCTTCTCTTCTGACCTATCTGACTAGACAGGAAATCAGATGAAGTTAGATTACTTCAAGCAAGCAAAAGTAACAGAATTCCAGAAAATAAAAAAATAGCACTTCACGTGGAAGGTCTACCTTGCTGAGAACACATATTCACCATGGTTTCCTTCTCGTGCTGGCACCAGTGGGTGGAAATGTGCGTAATCTGGTATACGTGTAGCATTCCACCCAAACCAGTCCACTTACTTAAATGCTCCCTCCGCCTTCCAGCCCTTCCTGAAAATATTGAGTTCAGTTTCCAGCAGTTATTGATGTCTTCAAATGGAAACTACTCACACGGATCAAGAAGCAAGAATTATTTACTCCAGGCAAGTGTCTTAATAGAAGAAATACCTAACCAATCCACTGTCCCACCCAGGCACTAAATATTTAAAATCTTATTTTGAATCTTAAATAAAATAGGATTTTTTTATTTAATCTTAAAATATGACTTATCATATTTTGAGTATTTTTAACAGATTTATACATTCAGACAGCTCATAATTTATAAGCACATATACAGTCATTTATCTACGTTTTCATTTGCTTTGTTATTGTTTTTAAAGACAAATGAAGTATTCTAAATGTGACTCAATAGAAAGTACTTTGCATTTACTATAGTGATGACTCTAATAGTGCTTCCAACTCCTACTTTGCCAGCATATAAAATTCTACTAAGTTCAAATCGTACCTTTCTCCTGAACAGTGCACACCATTGGGCATATTATGTAACATAAAACCTAAATCCTAGCTCTTGTCATGATTATAATTCCTAAGCAAGCAAGGTCACATTTTTACTGAGTGGGAATGAACCAGAAACATTTGCTCAATGATTTATGGTTTAAGAGAATTGTTCTAGAATTACTAGTACAAAGGAAGCAATTATAAAATGTGCATGGCACTCTATTCTAAAGCACGTTCTAGCTTTGTATATTTACACTAATCTCTAGAAAGGTACATATTTGACATTGCATCCCTATTTCTTACAGGGTGTGCTCCACAGAGACCTATGCTGGTATTATCGACTAGCTCTATTTTCCCTGAATACTATGAGCCCAGAAAGCTGCCTCCACTATCTATAATTGTACTCACAACACATAGAAATAGGTAAATGAACACCAGATACACAAATAGGATTATGATTTACAGATGCTTAGGCTGTTTTTACCTGAGAGATCTTCGTTATAGTCCCTTTTCTGGTTGAAAACAAAGTTGTTCAGCATTCTGTAGGGTCTAGCCGGTGCACTTACTTTTTCAATCTGTGCTTTCCCTATTACTATGGTACAAGGAGAGTTTGCATGGCCTGTGCTGCACTCATTGTGAACACTGACAGAAGGCTTCTATAGAAAAAAATAAGATGGATAAAACATTAGAGCACAAACATGCACTTAAAACAATCTTAATATCAGTGTGCATAAGCAAGCAATTTTCCTTGCAACTGCGTACCTTTGGAGTATTAGGTCTTCTTTGTCTCCTGTTCGCCTGCCTTGGAGGGGGGACATGTTTCACAACTTTCGTTTGGGTTTGTTTTACACCAAGTTTTACCACATCTGCCCATGATTTTGCAACTGTCCGAGAGAAAAAAAGACAGTGCAACTTTTCAAAAATAGTAGTAACGAGAAAACTAACTTTAATATATATTGCCAACATAACGCTCACCAATTAGATTGGCTTCAGAAGCACCACTCCTTCTTTTGGAAGAAATCATCTGTAAAATGTTATGCTGACTTCGACTAATGGACGCTCTCTTTGGAGGCAGGTGGCCACTCCTCCTCCCTGCTTTCTTTGGCGTGTCTGTCTCCTGTGGAAATTGCTCATCAGCAGAGGCAGCAGAGCCCTTGAGTGACCTTCGCCTTTGGTCATTTGTCCTTGGAGGAGTTTCTCTAGAACTAGAAGCTAGAGCAGCTTTGGATACATCGTGTGCTTTCACTCCCGAGCTGATTCCCAGAGACTCTTCTTTTCCTGATGATTGAGGCTGCTCCTGTCGAGACAGAAATGCTAATGAGAAATCCTGCCAAGGATAAAATATCTCTTGATACCTGTTAGAAACCTAGTCAAAGAATTAGAGCTGTTTGAATCTTGAAGCACTGAATGTTCAAACTACTATGTTTCAAAGTTCAGGTGGAGGTTAAGATTATGCCACTCACTCAAGAAAACAGAAGGGAAGGAAAAGTAGCCATCAAGCCTGAATTAATTCTCTGATGAGGGAAGGTGTAGAATACACCCTGCTCAGAGAGTGGAGAGCTCTGATGAACACTAGTTACTGTCTGCCAGTTGTGCGGCTGCCCGGAAGAAGA